GTTAAATAATCTTGCAAACATAAAAAATGTGAATCAGTTTCAAGATACTTAGCAAATAGAAATTCATCAACAGTGTCATTCGTAGATGGGCTATGAAACCTAACATAAGCCGTGAGAAGATTTGAACTTCCGAAAGTTGATTCGTCAAGTTGAATAGCGAACTTACAATGCTGGAGCTCGGAGGTCAAAGTTCTTTCCACATTATCGGCCATTTCCTCGATACGTCGCTGCACCGTATTTGCACTTAATGGTATGCATTTTAAAACTAGTTGAGAGTCTTTCTTCGTAACATTTTCAATTACATCTTTTATAGCTGGTATTATAATCTCTTCACCAATAGTATGCGGTTTGCCTTTCTTTGCAATATTAAGAGAGATTCTGTAGGATGTCTTAGGTCCTCCTTCTATATCAACACTAGCGGATGACTTCACATATGTATTTTCGCCGGCTTCATAGCATCATTGCTGAAAGTTTTTTCACATAATAAGCATATAGGAATAGTTTCATTAGCAAACGATGGCATAAAACCATATTTCAAATACTCCTGTGAATATTGTCTGCATTTCTTCTTAGCATTGGTAGCCGACATTGTGGGTATTAATGATTTTTCGATATATTACGATATTTTCTCTGTAAAGGATATAATATCTACATTTAGATATAAAATACTTAGAGTGCCAACCCTACTAGAGTGTAACAGTGCAACGTATGTCTGTGTATAATGAACTACCAGCGTTCGTAACACGTTTGCAACACTAGTACAGTTGTCAGATACTTGAAAACAGAGTAACACGTGCTTAAAGCGACGTAGGCTAAGGCAAAACTCAAATTATAACTAGGGTAGTCAGTGATGTTGATCATATTCGTGTTTCGAATTTTTATTATAATATTCTATTTTTTCCTAGACAGTTTAATTGATCCTCTTTGGTATTAATCGACCCCCTTTCGACCCTCGAGTATTAATCCATCCCTGAAGAATTCTTGTCGACCACTTTGGGGACCCCTAATCTAAATGTTTCAATTATTACTACTGTATATATTTTGTATCGGTACACGCTGCTGTACTCTTCCGATCTTTAATCAGTGTGGAGATGCTATAGTACATGCCTATGCTGTGTTAAAACTGAAAAATCGTTAATAAACTCGTTAATTGCAGACGACCGGATTGCTGAAGCGGTTAGGACGTCAGCCTAGCGCTTTCGAAGAGGATACGGGTTCGAATCCGAGTGAGCAATCCGATGGCTTGTCCGAATATGTAGGGCTTTGTCCCTCATCACCCGATTCTCCCCACAGAACTCTGGTCGAACCCCTAGCAAGTTTGGATTGGATTGATGGCATAAAGCAACTAGAACAGATAGGAAATTTGCCAAGTGATAGTACTTCCTAGGAGGACTTTCTATGGAAAATTGATACGCGAAGAAAACCCGGACAGACCAGATCGGTGGTGAAACGCAAACCCTTGACAAACTAACAATTTTCGGTAATTTTATACACTCGACCGCTGGCGGGGTCTTACAATAGATATGGAAAAAGACTCTCTTAGTACCCATAGAACGAGAAAAGCCGAAAATAAAAAATCAACGTTTTTATGGGCGTTTAAACTATATATTAAGTCTAATTTATAATGAATTGCTAGAAATAATGCAAATTCGCTGATTCAACTATAAAGAATAATGTTACTACGATCTTATCTTTCACAAAGAAAAGTATCAAAAGGCATTATAAATTGTTACAGGGTATCAAAAATTATTGCAATCTTTTACAGAATCTATTTATATCATTTATATATCGACAAGTTTTAAAAATAATTTCATTTATATTGGTGCACCATTAAATTAAAAAACCTGGTTTAAAAATACGAGGATAAAATACATTAAAAATTTTCACTGAGTGTCGAAGCTTATGACCCATTAATTTCGAGTGTAATCGTGAAATTCGAGTTGTGTAGAGAGAATATTCGATACGAATTTCATTGTTTTGTGGTGTTTTTATTACAGGATGCCGCGTGGATTGATATTTATCAAGGACCTTTCTGGTAGAGTCAGTACATTGTTTTCTTTGCTTCTCGAATGCCACAAATAACAAAAAATATGACTTAATATTCATTAAAACGAGCACCATCTTAAAAGTTCAACACACGCCTTTTTCAAATACAATTTTAATATCAATTCTACGCTTAGGATGCAAAAATTTCTAAGTGTTAAATAGTATTCACCCATCTCTAAATAATATAGAATTTTTCTCTCTTCACTATTCTACTGTAATTCATTTATTCGATTTATTAATTAATTTAATGTCTATATTTAATGTACAGAACAATTTACGTTTATTGATGCAAACGTTCAAGAGGTAAATTATAAATTACAAGAGAAATTACAAGTACAAATTTAAAGCTTTTCCATAAAAGCGGAATAGATAACCGACACGACTCTATTATGTAAAAGTGCCTAGCTTTTGAGATTTGTAACACTTTCATCGAAGAATCTTGAACACCGAATCTTCCTAATGATATATTTTTGAAAATTATTTATAAATAAAATACATTAGAAAATATAGTTTAAAAATAAATTTGTATTTTTACTTATCAGAAATCTAGTTACCAGACTCGACTTACTTTTCTTGATTGAATCAATAAAATAAATAATTTATTCAATAAATAAAATATAAGGATTTTGCTATAAAATAAACTAAATAAAATCTTCAATTTTTATAAATATAATCGCTTTAAAACTAATAATTTCTTCATTTTCTATTCAATTGTAAAAAAAAAATCCAGCAACGGGTTGCTTAACTTTCCCCGGCAACGTTAAAACTGCGTGTGTGGCACCATCTTTTATGATATTTTATTATTAAAAACTTTTTATATTTTTAGTTATTTGAAAATGGCGAAAAGCTTAATTATAATGGCAAGGTTGGCTATGCTAATAACGAGTAAAATCGTCATTAAGTCCGACCTTACTCGAGATATAATACACCACCCCTCTTTATCTTCCCATCCTATCCACCTTTAACAACCAAAATTTAATAGCATCAATCCCTCTAATATACAAATATAAGTAAAAGCACAATTTTCATACTAGAAACAAGAGTTTTTTTTTATCCCAGTGTAAACACGTTTAAAAGAAGATTTTAATTGTAAAAAAATTGTTTAATTTCTTGTGTAAATCGAATTCTTTATACAGCGCGTTGAAATTTCTAAAATAATTCAAAGTAGGAAGAACAGTAAATGATGTGTTTTGTAGATATACAGTATTGAACTTCAAGCTCAACAAGACCATTCGATCTTACTGTGAGAACTGTTGATAATGACAATGCTTTCATCCGTTCTTTTCAGTAGGGGTTTGCCACACCATTTATGGTGTCTCTTCCTCATTGAAAATCAGCAGCAGACAGATAAACAACTCCCACTCCCGTGACATCCTGTCTTATACGTTCTTACAAACGACTTACTCCCTTTCGTTTAACAATTTCCTTACAACGAATTTTCCAACTTCGACTTGTTTAGTTTCTCGTTTTTTGCAACGTATCGTGTTTTTCACTGATCAAAAACACTTCCAAATCTTAACTCCAAACGAAAAAAAACACACCCCAAAAAAAGTAGAATTAATTTAGTTTTTCTTTCAATAAAAAGAAGAGCAAAACAAAGCAAATTTTACTTTAATATCACGCATAATTTTGGCTGCAATTTCAAATTGTAAACCTGTAAATTCTACTGTCTGTCTGTCTGTCCTTCCTTAATATCGAGAATGGAATTAGATGATTAGCGAGACTCTTTTGTTAATAGGAAAAGAATGATGTACAGGGGCATGACACTACCGAAAACGTTGAAAACATTGCGACGGTGTCACGATAAATAATTGCCGGTGTAAATTTTATTAATAAATCCAGAATATAAAATACGAATTTCCGAGTTTTTTTATTATAGATTTTTCAGCGTAATTCTGAAGTAAAATTTAAATTTAAAAAAAAAACAAAAGGGCTTATGAAGATTACGAGGTTGTCACGCTTGATATTTGCTAAATTAATATAGTAAATTCAGTGAATAATTATGTAAATATTAAGAAAATTACCTGGAAGATCGAATAAAACGTTTATCGCATAATAAATTATTGTAAACATTAAATACAATCGAAGATATGATCGAGTTTCGATTGTATTACTTTCGACAGGAATTGCTTTTAAAAATGTTCAACAAACCGAGAATGATCTTTGATTCGTAAAGATTCTTATGTATCGTGTACATATAAAAAGTCGAATAAAAGGCTTTAAATATGTTTATGTACGAGCGAAAATTATTGTGACACGATGACAATACCGCGGGACGTAACTTTTAATCATATTTTTAATTTATTTAATTTAAAATATATGCTCTCAATCTCAAATTAGTAGTGTCTCGGCTTTATACATAATACGTTTCCTAATAACGAAAGAGCCACGCCTGTTATCTATGTAACTCGAATTCAAAAGTGTGTACATAAAAGCTGGTGTCGAACATATAGATCTTATGCATAAAAATGCATATATATATATGATATTGAACGTGTACGAGTGTGAGTATCAGTACACTTGTTAGAGTATGGATACGTGTCGAACACACGCGTATATATAACAAGTTATTTTAAGTGTGTCTGTATGAGAAAGGATATTTAACGCGTAGACGTTTAAAAAATATAAGGAATTTACATTAAATGAATTACAAGAAGGTGTAATAAAAATGTATAGTCGATGCACGGTGTTTGGAAAGTGAGCGCATAGAAGTGTAGGAGTAATTGAAAAAAATACATAAATTGTTTGCATATTTGTGTAAATGAGAGGAAGTAGAGCGTGGCAGACGTAGGAAAGCGGTAATGATAGAAGTGTGGAATACTTAGGCAAGCGAACAAAGGTATAAGAAGATTGGTCTGTATTACTTTTCCATGACCTAGCTTTCAACCCATTTATTGATTGAACGAGATGATGCTTGACGCTTGCGCAATATCTCTCCTTTGGTATAGCACATACAGCATCAGACAACCGGTTGAAAACAGACGTTATTCAAGCAAGTCGAGGAGCAAGCAAAATCTTGTTACACTAATATCATGGAGTGTACCTTCAAGTAAGTTACGATTTCTTTAATAATTAATAAATAAACCGTAGAAAAAAATTTCCTAATTCCTAAAAAATCCATTGGAAAAAATTTCTTAAAGGGGGGATAACGATCGAAATTTTTCTTCACTTCTCTATATTTTCCTATGTTTATCGCTAAAAATCGTATAAGATCCTTAATGTTAATGACGAATAATAAACGTATTTCTTCGACTTATCGACTTATTTATTGATTGATAAAAACGGGATTTTTATTCAAAATATAAATTGCTTTTTATATTTGTATAATTTCATAATCATTAATTAAGTCATTGGTGTGTAGAAAAGATATTTGTAAGCTAATTTCATTTTATATCATAACTTGTTAATTTATACATATTAAATACCCTGTGGGTAAATTATTTCGTTCTATTTAGAAGTTTTGTTAACTAATTTTGAAGAAATTGATTAATAATTTAGTGAGATTCTCTTATTTAATGTAGTAGAATTTATTAATTAAGTTGACAGGCTTCTGTTAGCTAAGAAAAACTTAATTAATTATTCATTTCTTATACATTTTACACGCGTGTTATTGGGAAAGTAAATGCAAAAAAAATGCTTACAATTAAAATGGAATTTTTTTCTTGTGTGACGTGAAAAAGTGTTTATTAGCATTTTCTTTTGATCAGTTGTGAAGACGTTTTTCGAGTCAACCAATCATTATATTAAGGTTTAATGTTTGACATATCAATAAAAAGCTATGAAGATGAGAATCAATGGCGATATCTTTCTAGGAAATTCTCTCTTAATTTTATCAATAAAAAGAAGAAAAAAACACTACAGAAATCTCTTTTATAATATAAACCCTTTGACCTGGCATTCGTATTAACATATAAAAATATATTAAAATTTCAATTTTTAAATTAATATTGATTTTTCATTAAAAATTTAAGCATTTTTTTAAACACCTACCTGAGGCAGATGCGTGTTTTTATTTCGTTTTTTCTGTCTAAAAATCAAATTTTATTGTTTTTTTTAAGGTCTAAAATGTACTTTTAGTACTAATTTAATTAAATTTTATTTACTTTAAATAAAATTTTAATGATTGTTGTTTCCATATTAAGAGCTATTCAAGAATTAAGTTTGACATTTTCGATTGATTAAGTAGAGATTTTATAATTGTTTAAAGCGTGTAAATTAACCTATATATAATTATAAATTGATTTCACTTTATATAATTACATTGTAAATATTTTTGGGGGATATTTTAAAGTGTTTTATAGCTTATGAAATGCTTTCGTACGTTAGAAAAATATCCTAATTTTGTATAACTTTATTTAATACCTCCGAGATACTTTATCTTTTCTCCATTTCTATACACTTTTATCATCTTTACGAGCGATAAAGATGATAAAAACAATAAAGTAGAGTTAAAGATACGTCCGTCAATCGATGCAATATATCATTTATATCTTTATTTATTATTTTCCTAAAAGATATTCCTGTAAATTTGGTATAATGTAAGTATTTTAAATATATATTACGCATCTCGTTAACGTTAGTGTTTCGCAATTCTTCTACTCTAATTCAATACATCAAAAAAATCAATAGGATAATGTGTTGTTAAACAAGCTTAAACATCAAAGATCGTGATGAAAACTCGAATGATTAACAATAAATTATCTTTTAACTCTCGGGCCCTTTCTAGCGGGCCCAAAATTGGGAGGGACAAAGAACGAAATATCCAGAACAGACCACCCCCGATGGAAAAATAGTTTTTAATGAATAATTTCGTAAAGATTTTGTAATATAAAAGAAGAAAAACGGGAGGTCATTTGAAGGGCCCTTATATTTACGAGGCCACAAATATATTTGTTACAAATTATCCATTCAATCGCATTACTTTATATTAAGAAAACACTTTTATATTTATTATAGTTTAAAGGGAAAGAACAGCTTNGAGCCTCAGAGAGGTAAGAGGCCTTAATATATTGAAAACTATGGAAAATTCATTGTAAAAATCTGCTTTTTTTTTCTTTAAAACACTAGTAATTTTTAGCTAAAGCCCCTCTCCACATCTGAATGGCCATACTAAAAAATTATGAGTTTAAATACAATTTTAGAATGAATTTATCATTATAAAATATTAAATAATTAAGAAATTTCGTGTTTTAATTTATAAAAAAAATAGATAATTTATATAGCTTAGAAGAGTTTAAAAATCTTCCAGATAGAAATTTGAAGAGCTGATAGACTTTTATCTTCACTTTACTCGAAGAGAATGGCGCATTTCTTAAATAATTCAAAGAATTTTACAAAAAAAAATCTGATTTTAATCTCATAAAATATTAAAAACATAATAATTTAATAATATTGTTGGTAAAGGAGAAAAATTATATTATAAAATTTCGAAAATCAACATTGTAATTTAGCGAAAAATCATTCTATAAATATAAAATGAATCATTATATATAATTCAGTAAGAGAATAAAATTTTCACGTCTGCTGTGAACATTAAATCATATAAAATTCTTGAATATTCTGTAAATAATTATTAAAAATACGTGTTAAAGAATTGAATATATAAGTATATTTATGGAAGAATTTCTTCATCAGTTATATATAAATCCATGCGCTGTTTAGGTGAATATATATACTGTAAGACATTACTTAGAGTTGTATTAGCTAAATAATGTGATTAAGTAATCTTTGGAGAATATTTAAAGACGTGTATAAATTACAGATTTAAATTACTGGAGTTTAATATGTGGCCATCTTTAACGAATATACTTTACATTCTTCTATTATAGAGAATATTATAATGGAAGTATGTGTTTTTTTTATTGTTATGAAATGCAATCAATAATATGAAATTCATTCGAGAGGCAACGGGAATGAAATTAAGTTTCTGTTAAATAAATTGCAACACAATGTGATTAATTGATGTATATTAAAGTTTATTTAATATGAATGGAAACTGAATACAATTAAATAGAGTGCATTAATATATTCGATATGAATGGGGGCATAATGCATTTAAATGATGTGAATGAAGCATAATGCAATTGAATGGGGTGCATCAGTTTCTTTGCTGTAAATAGTAATACAATGTAATAAAATATGTGCACTACTTAGTTTGAAAGAAATGGAACTATAATACAATGAAACAATGCAAAATATATAAAATTCTATTATACTAAATATTCATTTTATTGTGAAAAATTATAGTAATAAATTAACAATTTTAATTAAAAATGTAGTTGAATTCTAACATTAAAATATTTATATAATTTATAATATTCTACATATTTCTTTTTGACGTTAATTATGTTATAAATAATTGTTTTGATAAATTAAAGTAAGAAAATTATTAAGTAATTATATTATTTTATTTGCACCACAATATAATTATAAAATACAGGTTAATTATAACAAGTTGTATGAAATACAATATGGTTATAGAGCATTTCGGGGAGAAATAAAGAAGAACAAAGTGTAGTAATCACGTATATGCTATTTTATTTAAGAAGCCATTTCTAATTTACAACATTTTACGCTTTAATTAACTTCCACGTGTATCACGTAAAATATGCGGACGGAATTCAATTTCGTGCCATGTGTTACGGAAAATTTCGGCAGTTATTTCTCTGACTTCACTGATTCGACGCTTTAAACTTTCAATGCGGCAAACCCACGTTGCGTACCCCTATAATTGACAAACCTCCAAAGAAAGAAATCCAATGGTGTAATAGCGAGGGATCGAGATGGCCAGGAAATCGGTCCTCGTGGCCAAAACAAATTTTTCATATTAAATCCCAGTGTGGAAGTGCTCCATCTTGTTGGAAGTAAACGTTCGTTTGTCGGTGTTCAGTTTGTGGTATTGCATAATTCTGCAAATACGTCGAGATATGAAGCGCTGTAGTCTGGGCTAAGAAAGTTTTCTAACTTGCCATCACTTCCCCACAAACTCTACAGCCGCTCTATCGTCTGAAATAAAACAGAGGTTGTGTACAAGTTACAAATTATAAGCAAAACGCATTGAATAAAAAGTTGTATAACAAGTTACAAGCTACTTGTAAACAATTTGATTACATACAGTTAACAATAATCATTAACAAGTTGAAAGTACTGTACTTGCTACAAGCTAGTTTATACTTCTTGTAGCTTGTAATAACTTGTAATTTTTATGTAATAGCCCTGGACGTTGTGTGCTGTTGTATGCTATGTTGTATTTCTCTCATATTCATACTATTCTTTAAAGCGAAAACCGTAAACGATGGCGTGTCAATAGTGTGTAGTATTCCTAAGTTGTTACAAAGTGCTCCTTTCGCCTTGTAACAATTAGCCCCGAGAGCCGATTTTACATTTAACCTAGTTCCTGCTCGTAAACTAAGTAAACAAACTGATCGGTAACAGCGTGAAATTAAGCGCTAGTAAGTAACATAAACACGAACAATAAGGGCAACTTACCTTCAGACCTTCGAGACAAAATCACACGTAAAACACAATCAAAATAAATTACTTTTAAAACATAAAATAATAGAAATCCTTGCAACTTTAGCTTACTCGCTAGCACGAATCCCAAATTACACGTGAAATACGCTTGTTCTTCGTGTTCTGTGGATGCCGCACTTATCAGAATCTGTTAAAAACTCATCTTCGACATCTTGCTCCGGTGCCACTAGATAAAAACTAGTAGTAAGGACAACGATCACTACATCGAGTGTCACTATATCAAGAGTCCCGTATAGGCTTTAAGTATTTCTTTTAACTTGTCTGCTTACCGTCAGAGCTATCTTGGAACTGGAGGTTAAGGCTTTCCAAGCCTCTTCACGCCTTGTTTATGATATTTGTTTTGTGTAAATTACACATTATATCGGGTTTTGCAACCTCGACTGCTTATTATAGAAAAACCCGTAAATGACATAATATTGAGGCAATATACAGTATTTATCATTATTGATTACATTATGATGAATTTGACAATCAAAAAACAGTTAAAAATCATTAAATATGATTATTAATCATTTT